CTTCCTTCATTTCTCTGGTAACCCAGTCCTTGTTTAATAGCATGCTATTTAGTCTCCATGTGTTTGATTTCTTTGGATTATTTTTATTGTACCCTGTTTACCTGAAAATAAGACAGTGTCTTATATTAATTTTTGCTCCCAAAGATGCGCTAGGTCTTATTTTTAAAGATGTCTTATTTTTCCATGAAGAAGAATACGATACACATTATTGTTAAATGTATATAAAGGAAATTTATTACCTGTATACAGTACAGTAGTATGGTAGATATCAACACAAACTAAACATTTACTCATTTATTCAATGACAATCATGTCATCATCTTCTGGAACATCATCATAACAATCTAGTTCCTGAATTTCCTGGTGAATTTCTTGTGACTCCATTTCTTTCAGAATCAGTGGGCCAAATCTCTCATGTTTAGCCTAGGGGGAAAGGGGACTTATTTTTGGGGGGATTCCTTATACAATATTTCACTCAGAAGGAAACCTGTAAGTAGGTCTTATTTTCGAAGGATGTCTTATTTTCGGGGAAACACGGTAGTTAACTTCCAGTTTTATGCCACTATGATCTGAGAAGATGCTTGATTTGATTTGTACCACCCTTTTTTAATCCCATCATTCGCTGATGGACACTTAGGTTGTTTCCAAATCTTAGCTATTATAAATTGTGCTGCTATAAACATAGGGGTGCATATATTCTTTCTGATGAATGTTTTAAGTTTCTTAGGATATATTCCTAGAAGTGGGATCACTGGGTCAAATGGGAGCCTCATTTTTAATTTTTTGATAAAACTCCATAGTGTTTTCCATGATGTTTTCACCAGCAGTGTACAAGGGTTCCTTTCACTTCGCATCCTCACCAGCATTTGTTGTTGATTTGCTGATGATAGCCATTCTGACACTTGTGAGATGGAACCTCATTGTTGATTTACTTTGCATTTCTCATATGATTAGTGACTTTGAACATTTTTTTCATATGCCTCTAGGCCTTCTGTATGTCCACTTTAGAGAAGTGTCTATTTAGGCCTTTTGCCCATTTTAAATTGGATTTTTAATCTTTCTTTTGTTAAGCTGTATGAGTTCCCTATAATTTTTAGGAGATTAACCCTTTAGTAGATGTATCATTGACAAATATGTTTTCTCATGGGCAAAACATATTTTCTTATCTCTTTGTATTTGCTTTTATGTATTAGATAGAACTGTTATGCCTCCCAATCTTTGTGGGACGACCTTATGTAGTAAGTGTCTTGAGGGGTCCAGTGGTGTAGTCTCTTTGTTCACCTGAGCTGGATGATCTAGGAATGCACCTGATGTGTATTGTTTGTGCACTCCTTTGTCATTAGAATTTGATGGTTAATATCCTATGAATGGGCAGGATCTCCCCTCTGATGTGTTTCCAGTGAGGTTCCACCCCAATGTTATTGTACCAGCTGTCCAGTGTTTGGGAACCCCTTTGCCCAGAGGCTGAGTATGCCTTGAGTCTCACACCTTAATTGACCCTGTTCTGAGCTATACTTCCTTCCCCCATGGAACTGGTCCTGCAGGTGTCAGATTCAGGTGCTTGGAGTCCCACTGGCTTTTTCCTCATTGAGCAGTCCTGGATAGTACCTGTGGCAGGAATCCAAACTAACATTTCTCATCAAATTATTCTTGTGAAAGCAGTTTCTGCATGTTTTTCCAGTGTGACTTGTGGCATCATCTTCATGAAGATCCTTTCTACCCTATATTTATAGTATTAAATAAAGAAGAAATTTCTGTATATTTTCAGCATAAATTTTTAGTTTCTGGATATTATGTGCTTTGTCATCCAATTTTTTTTCCTCCTCCATCAGTGATTTTCATAAGCCATCTTTTAGTCAGATTATCTTTTGACAGCTTCTTCCTATCCACTTCTTCTCAGTCCACAGTGCGGGAAGCTTGGCTTTCCATCCTCCTTGGGGCTCTCTGAAGTCAATCTGGGGCCCAGAAACAAGGCCAGCCTCTGATGGTGTACAGGCCTTCCATAGTTCAATGGCCACAGGCTGATGAGGTATACTATTACAATATATATTGTCTACATTTTTTCCCAACACTGCAATCACATCAGTTCAGTTGTTTTCTCAGAGACCAAGTCTTTAACCTTCCTGAGCCACGTCCTACACTGAAGGGCCGCAAGCTCTGGTATTCCGCCAGAATCAGGAGGGAGCATAAATAGCCTTCACAATATCTTTTCTGCAGCAGCTCCAGATATTTTGAAGAGAGTGCTGGAGGCACTGGGTCTACTGGTAGCTATGTTCTGCCATGCCACATGGGCTCCAGGGGCCACTGTAGGGTCTGGGGCAATGATTTCCACACAGGGTGTAGACCCCAAGTAGGTGAATGGGCTGGCTGGTATTGGTCAGTTTTTGACCACAGACTCATGAACCAAGAGGTCACTGGTTGGCTTCCTGGTCAGAGCACATGCCAGAGTTGTGAGATTAATCCCCAGTAGGGGATGTACAGGAGGCAGCCTATTGAGTTTCTCTCTCATCTGTATTTCTATCTCCCTCTCCCTTTTCCTTCCTCTCTCTCTCTCAAATTAATAAAAATATTTATTTTAAAAGAAAGTGGGTGAATACCAATATACACAGCCACCAGGTATGAATATGTATAAAAGATCCTAGAAAGTTCCCAACTGGCCAAAACGTTCTTCCTACCTTATGATAGGCCTGAAAGAGGCCTGAGAGTAGAATGGTGCCTGACCTATTCTTTTTTTTTAAATATTTTAAAAAATATATTTTATTGATTTGTTACAGAGAGGAGGAGAGAGGGATAGAGAGTTAGAAACATCGATGAGAGAGAATCATCAATCAGCTGCCTCTTGCACACCACCTACTGGGGATGTGCCCGCAACCAAGATACATGCCCTTGATCGGAATCGAACCTAGGACCCTTCAGTCCATAGGCCGATGCTTTATCCACTGAGCCAAACCGGTTTTGGCCTGACCTATTCCTTTAATAGAGACTTGCATCATTTACCAAATCAGATACTGTTCACAAAACAGTATTACCCCATCTTACAACAAAATCATATCTTTGATAATGTACTTGTTTAGTGCCACTAGTGAAGGGTAAAAGGGTGACACATCTCTTCCATTAGCTTTAATATTTAATCTGTCTTAGGATAGCTTGTGCCAAAGACATGATCAAGCAAACTTATAAAGACAGTTTAAAAATAAGAAATTTACTGAGCACTATTAATTGCTTGATATGGATAATGTATTTATCAATAATATCAATACCCATCAATAATAGAATTGATTGCATATTAAGGCACTGTGTAAAGATCTTTATGTGCATTATTTCATTTAATCTTCACAACACTTCTATGAGGTAGGAATGATTATTATCTCAGTTTTGTAATAAAGAAACTGAAGGTCAGTGAGATTAAGGAAATTTCCCAAAGGAACCTAGCCAGTAAGTGCTGGAACTAAGTATTAGAACCAGGATTAAAATACCAGCCTGCCTATTCAAACTCCTATCTGGCTCCATAGCCAGCATGTGTTTCTGACAGTTATGCTGTACAAGCCAGTTTGTTGTAGTGAAAAGTCTTTCCTAAAATCATGCCAATAAGGCTAGAGTTTTCCAGCAACTGAGATTTCACAATATAATCACATACTGAGGTATAAAAGACTGTGATCTAGCATTTTATCTACAACCCTCAACACTTACCTTTGATTTTGTGTCTAGCAGAACCACCCTACTTTTTGTACCCTTGAACCTCATGCTGTTCATGGATTGCTGATGTGAAGCCTACTGTTCTCTTTGCCTCAAATGTCATTCTACCTCCATTATCTGGTAAATTCCTTTAAAATCCAGCTAAAGATATCAACTCTTCCAGTAAACCTTCTTTAACTTTCTCCTGATCATGTCAACCATTCTGCCCTCTGTATTAACCTTTGTGTTTTATATAAATATGCATTGTTGACTCATTCATTCAACATGAAATACTATTTTTTCCAGGTATGAGGCTAAATATGAAGAGATAGAGAGTCAAAGAACACTATTACAGAATGAGGGCTGCATACTAAAGCATGTAACTACTAAAGTAGTTTCCACTACCTGAGGAAGGGAGAAATAAGGGTATACTGATTTCAGCGCAAAGTTAGGAATCAAAGTTGATCAAAGAGTTGGTGATCCAGTGAAGTATTTATTTGAATCAATGTTTATGCTGTGGAACAGGATGGTATCTGTTCAGCATCTTGGATAAATTTTGAGTTCTTATAGGGAGAGGAGTTAGGAATAACTTTGAATTGTTTGAAAAGGAGATTTGAGATACTTTGGGCACAAGTTTTACTGGCTTTAGACCCAGGGAAGGCCATGATCCTCACTTCCACATAGAACCCACCATTGTAGCAGTACCTTGAATAGCAGCTTTTAGCACATTGGCTGGTAGCCCCCTGAGATAGGAATACTGGCATTTTCATAGTGGGCCCTAATCAGCAGTAGCAGTGGTAGGGGGTAGTGTGGTATAGCACCCTTAAATGACTTCATGAGCAGAGACCATTAATGAAAGGGAAACATAGCAAGAAGGGAAGAAAAGAGTTGATACTGCATGAAGGACTATGGCTGACAGATGGGTTCATGAGCCTATTGAGATACACTTGGGCCTTTCCACTTAGAGCTGGGCAAGAGTATGGATTCTGGACTACTAATATGTATGTCAGTAAACTAAATTATAAGCACATATTGAATCCTGGAGACATCTAAGTTACACTTTTTAATTTACTACAATATTAGATAATTGTGTCTTATTCATCTTTATGTCCCAGGACTAAACACAATGCCTGACACAAAGTAACTGCTAACAAAATATTTGTGGATTTATTTAATAAAGGTGTTGGGAGGAGTCAAAGAAGGGAGAGTGGGGAGTATACATGGGATATGTGCCATGTGTTCTGGCCCCTTTTGATTCTGCCAGCATGTGTGCAGAGGTGCTAAGACAAATTCCGTGGCAGTTAGAAAGTGAACTGGCTGTCAAGATGGAGAGGAGGGAACATTTAGTGTTGACCTTCTACAGTCCTGAGGTCCCCAAACTTAAGGGGAACCGGAAATACCAAAGGGTGAGGAGGTACCTACTTACAGGTCAGACGGGAGGAGGAGGACTTTCTTAAAGATGGACCTAGTCAGAGTATCCTAAGGAAAGAGCAAAGATCATTTTTTTTAATAGAAGGGGTAGGGATAGATATCCATAAATCAAACCCACATGGGAATATTCAAGGTAGAGAAGGGTAGGAAACCCTGGGGATCAAAAGTTATCTTTCTGGGTAGGCAATATTTCCCTCATCCTTGTAGCCTACCCTCCCCACCAACAAACATCCGAGTGCCTCCATGCCACCCCAGATGCGGCAGCAGCATGTGAATCAGACACACACCTACATTCGAATGTTCTGTGGCAGCCTCTGTGGTTTTAGCCTCCTAATGCTGATCTGCGTGTCCTCACTGAACTGGGTGCAGTTCCTGGTGATCAAGAATGGCCTTGAGCTCTACGCAGGACTCTGGATCTCATGCCACCATGAACTGTGCTGGAGCCACACACCAAAGCCACCTTGTGAGTGCCACAAAATTAAATGCCACAGGCCCCACAGTTTCAGAGCTTTCTGCCACATTAGCCTTCGCCTTTCTTTCTCCAAGATCTTTTGGCTCTCAATCTCTAAGTCTAACATGGATCTCGCCAGATTGTGGATATAGCCATCCTTTTCTTTGGTAGCTTCAGTGTACCCTTTCTCCTTCCTATTGCAGGTTGTTTCCTCTCCCAAATAATGAGTGGACACTCTCTGGAAAGAATCCTTTTGTCTTTTACAAGATGTTATTATGATTGGTATTCTAATGTGGCTTGTATAAATAGAAGAGAAGTGATCGCCTGTAGCTGGGCGGTAATGAAAAGTGTCTCAAACTCAGTCAGATTTTTTTTAATATATATTTTATTGATTTTTCACAGAGAGGAAAAGAGAGGGATAGAGAGTTAGAAACATCGATGAGAGCGAATCATCCATCAGCTGCCTCTTGCACACCCCCTACTGAGGATGTGCCCGCAACCAAGGTACATGCCCTTTGACCGGAATCGAACCCGGGACTTTTTAGTCTGCAGGCCGACGCTCTATCCACTGAGCCAAACCAGTTTCGGCCTCAGTCAGATTTAACTTTCAAAGTAAACTTGTTTTTCTGCTAAGAGTAGAAGAGAACTTAAATTCTTGTCAGATATGAGTATAACAAATGCCAGCTATTTAGAGTACATTATTAAGGTCAAATTTTATATGAATTTAAGTAAATCTGAAAATGCAACATAAAATATTTTAAAATAAGCTTCTAGGGCTAAAAGTTTTCCAATCAGAACCAAGACTTAGAGGAAAGACATAATTACGCTACTTGTTTACTCATCATCCATAAGAGATATTTAACAAAGAAACAGGTATTGTGAAAGAAAACATGCATGTATAAAGCATTTATTTCTCCTTCTCAGAGAAGGAGAGGCCCCAAATGCTGGGACTGGGGGTGCACCTAGGCCCAACCCTGAGGAGGAGCATAAGTTACTTGGCCATGGGCATGGGCATTTGGAATTAAGAGGAAGACCTTGAGAGGAAACTAAAATCATAGGCAGGCAGACAATCCAGGTGCATCTTCAACTAAAAAGAAAAACTAGAAATTTATTTGCACTAAGTATGAAAGATAAAAGATTAATGGCCTCAATATATTAAAAATATAAAATCATTATTAAGAAAAAGATAAATACCCAAATAAATTTTCTGTAAACAGACAATTCACAAAACAGAAAGTATGAAGTGTGTCTAATAAATATAGGAAAAAATATTTTAACCTTAATGAGTAATTAAAGAAAGGCAAATCAAATGGACAATGAGATATTTAAATAGTAAAATACATTCTTGGCCACTGTGGATCAGTTTGTTGGATCATCACTCTGTGCACCAAAAGGTGGCAGGTTTGATTCCCTTGTCAGGGCACGTATCTAACAGGTTGTGAGTTCGATCCTGAGTGGGAGCACTTTGGGGAAGCAACCAATCAATGTTTCAATGTTTCTCTCTTACATAGATCTCTCTCTCTCTAATTTTTTAAAAAGGTAAAATACAATACTTCACACTTTTACACACACTGTGAACCATGAAAATGGGTATAACTAAAGTAATACGATTAAATGTAACCATAGATTTACACTAATTCAATTTCTAGAAAAATGGAGTAAAAGATAGTTAGGCATAAAAATTAAGTTGCAATTATATTTATGTAACTGTGTTCCCAGATTAAAACTCAAGACTTTAGATTATTATTTAAACTAGAGGCCTGGTGCATTAAATTCATGCATAGGTATGGTCCCTAGGGCTGGCTGGTGATCAGGGCTGATATGGATCTGTGGAGTGATCCATATGGTGGTTGGGGCCCCCACTCACACCAGCTTTGGCCTGGCACCGCCCACTCACCTGCTCCACCATCCCACCATAGTCCCATTCTCGTTGGGGTCCATCAGGGCTGGCAGTGCCTCCACTGCTGCCTGCTGCCAGTGCTGCATTGCTGACACTCACCATGTTCCACATTGCCCCCCAGTGGTCAGTGCACATCTAACTCCTGGTTGGTCGAACTCCCACCCATGGGGATATTTTGCATGTTAGCCTTTTATTTCATAGAATTTTTAATGAATCAGAATCTTGATATTTTGTCATTTAAAATAGTAAAAGGTTCAATTTTCAGAGCCTTGAATTCACCTGAGTCCAAATGTTAATGGTTTAAAGAAAGTCAATTGAGTCCACTATGTATACAAATACAAGTACCCACCCCCCCCTATTTCCAGTGTTAACTAGTCCTAATTCTAGATTCAGTCTGGAACACAGTTCTCAAAAGGAATTTCCAACATGTAATCTGTATGTCCAAGCTTTTGATGAAGACATTCTTACACCCAGGGCCCCAAGAATTGCCACACATCAGCCTATGACAATATGTTTTATTGCCCTAATACATTATTATCCAAATACAAGAACTTTAAACTTTTATTTACTGGATTGCAAGAATTTAGTCTCCACTCACATGGTATCCCCCAGTGATTTCTGAGAGTTCTTCAGGGACTGTCTCACTTGGGCTCAAGAATGTGGGCTCAAGAATTGCTACACAATAAACATCCCCAAGTTGTGTGAGTTTTATTAGGGTGCTCCTAACTGGGTTACCAGAGAACCCAAATACTATGCAGAGTTTACAGCTTCCTCTCCAGGGTATCAGATCCTCCATCCAGGATCTTTTTCAAAACCACTTCCTGAGTGCATTTCCTTTGAGTCTGGGGAAGTGTTGTCTTGTCCTTTTATGCCTGGAATAAGGGCACAATGTCAGTAATGTGGAGGTTTAGATTTGGCTAAATAAGTGGGCTAATTCCCCAGCTTGTCTTCAGCAATATCATCTTCATCCTCAATATCCACACCCCACATCCTCCCACTCAGTCTAACTCAGGCATGTCAGATTTGTGGCCCACAACAAATATTTTTGCAGCCCAGCTAATATAACAGATTGTAAGAAATGTTTTAATAAAAATTTCATAACTTAATTTTTACAATATCCTGTTATACATAATTATTAATAATTAACTACAACGTTCGTTAATGACTGATTACTATAGTCATGTTGCTTTCATTTCCCTTACACACAGGCACACCATTTCTCTCCACTAGCAGCCAATATTTTAGCAGCTGATTGCCATGTCATTAGTCTTGTACTGACTTGTTTGGTGTGTGCAACAAGAAATATTTCACTTTTGGCCAAAACCGGTTTGGCTCAATGGATAGAGCGTCGGCTTGGGGACTGAAGGGTTCCGGGTTCGATTCCGGTCAAGGGCATGTACCTTGGTTGCAGGCATATCCCCAGTAGGGGGTGTGCAGGAGGCAGCTGATTGATGTTTCTCTCTCATCGACATTTCTAGCTCTCTATCCCTCTCTCTTCCTCTCTGTAAAAAAATCAATAAAATATATATTTTTTTTAAAAAGAAATATTTCACTTTTGGAGAACAAGAAAAATGGGTTTATTTGTGTTTCGCTTATTGGTTTGTGCAGTTATTCAGTGTCTGGTAAATTAATGTTCAAGAAAAAAAATAATTTTTATTAAAATGTTCTATTATTTTATGTTTATGATTACTCATTTATTTCAGCCTTTTTATTCTGCATGTCTGCAAATGAAATAAACCTACATTTCTATGAAAATGGAAGCTTTTGTGTTTTTGCAGCCCACATAAACATAAAACCTTATTTATATGGTCTGTGTTAGTCTTTGAGTTTGACATGCTTGGGCTCCTTTATAGTTAAAATGGGCTATTTTTTTTATTTTTTTTTAACACTGCATCTCTAGCCTGGCTTTGAATTTTGCTGAAGGACATAGGGTTTGGTGAGTGAGTCCACTACCAAATCTCTTTGGAATCACTGAATAGCAGGTGCTGGCTTCTCTCTTCTGCTTCTTCCTTCTAATGACATTTGGATTCCCCACTGCTTCCTTTCAGGGAGTCACTAGCTATAAAGGAAAATAAAATTTATTGTTAACTGAGCCTATTTGTTCATAAGAGTGGGTGGCTTATAAACTAAAACCTTCTGGCAAAGTTTTACTTTCACAACAGTAGAAAGAGATTCTGCCCATCAGTTACATACCACCAAATGGTAAGAGTTTTCAATTCACTGAAAAAAACTATTGTTTTTTGGTTGGGCAGTGTCCCTTCCAGCCTTGGTAGCTTTTACATCCTACCTGATGGTGCCCTGAAGTATAGATTCACTGATTATGATGATCCCAACAACATCAGCAAGGATCCCACCAAGTTTTTAAAATATTTTAAATTCTTTCTCTTCAAATTAAAAGTGACATTCCCTCTCTTCCAAGGGTATTAGCTTCATTGTCTTCAGTAAACTGAGAGGCTTGCCTTGTTATTCCTATAACTAAAGTCCACATCACAGCATATCATTAATGAAAGCTTCAGAAATGTTTGGATATGTGTGACCTAAATAGTGTTCCTTCTATCTAGGGCATTTCTTTCTCCCTGGACTAAGGCTTCTTACTGTTATGAACAAGTAGGGCCTTTTGTAATTTAGGTTCTAAGATTTTTGAAACTTTGATGGGTAAGCTGCTGTGAAAACTGTCATTTAAAACTGAAATAAGTTTTGGCCTTACAGGAGGTTGAGGTTTACATTCAGTTTTGGGACCTTTGTTTTGTTAAATGAATTTAAAAAATAAGTAATGCAGTTGTTTTAAACTCTCAATGTAAGTGTTTCATTTGATTAGGTAATTTGTTATGTATGACTATGACTAGTAGACTTGAGTCCTTTGAGCAGTTAGACTGTTCTATGATAAAAATCTTTAGTTATTCCTTTGGAGTTGTGAGTGATTTTGTTTATGTAGTTTTCAGGAGATGAGCAGCTAAGACAGAGAAATTGTAAGAACATGAAGGCACAGTCTTCCCCTCAGGGTAGAAGAAAGGCTGAACTGTAACATACCTTAGACAGGAGCTGGGATGGATATTTTATACAGTGTGCTTTTGCATTTTAAATATTAGAACCAGTTTTAACTAGCATAAGTTAAAGAGCAACTTATTTATGAAGACTCAAAAGAACCTCATAGTCTTCAAAGGCAGGAAGTTTGCTGGACCTTGGGGATTTCAGAGGAGACTGGGATCAAGCTCATGAGTCACTCGTTATCTCTAGAGTTGCTTTGTCACTCATCTTTGTTTATGCTTTTTTTTATATCTACTTTTTTCCTCATTTATTGGGAATGTGTAAGTGCCCAAAAAGTATATTCTAGGCTAGCTTTATATATTCTTTTTTTAAAAAAAAATAAATCTTTATTGTTCATATTATTATAAATGTTCCTCATTTTTCCCCTCCATTGCTCCTCTCCACCAGGTTCCCACCCCATCCTCTGCCCTTTCCCCACCCCCCATTGTCCTCATCCATAGGTGCACAGTTTATGTTCAATCTCTTCCCACACCCCCCACTTCCCTTTTCCCCGAGAATCATCAGTTCACTCCCCTTCCATACCTCTGATTCTATTATATTCACCAGTTAATATTGTTCATTATGTTTTTTGCTTCCCTTGATTTTTAGATTCAATTGTTGATAGCTACGTATTTGTTGTTCATAATTTTTATCTTTATTTTCTTCCTCTTACTAAAGAACCCCCTTCAGCAATTCATATAATTCTGGTTTGGCGGTGATGAACACTTTTAGCTTTTTTTTATTTGTGAAGCTCTTTATCTGGTCTTCGATTCTGAGTGATAGCTTTGCTGGGTAAAGTATTTTTGGTTGTAGGTTCTTGTTATTCATCACCTTGAATATTTCTTGCCATTCCTGTCTGGCCTGCATGGTTTCTGTTGAGAAATCAGCTGACAGTCGTATGGGTGCTCCTTTATAGGTAACTACCTGCTTTGCTCTTGCTGCTTTTAATATTCTCTTTGTCTTTTGCTCTTGGCATTTTAATTATGATGTGTCTTGGTGTGGTCCTCTTTGGATTCCTTTTGTTTGGGGTTCTGTGTGCTTCCTGGACTTTTAAGTCTATTTCTTTCTCCAGGTGAGGGAAGTTTTCTGTCAGTATTTCTTCCAGTATGTTTTTGGTATCTTGCTCTCTCTCTTCTGAGACCCCCATAATTCTGATGTTGGTTCACTTGAAGTTGTCCGAGAGGTTTCTTACATTGTCTTCAACTTTCTGGATTTTCTTCCCTTCTTGCTTCTGTGGAGGAGTGTCTTCTGATTCTTTATGTTCCAAATCTTTGACTTGATTCTTGCAATCTTCCATTCTGTTTTTAGGACTCTGAATAATATTTTTTATTTCAGACAATGTATTCTTTATTTATAGTTGATCCCTTATTATTTCTAGTTGATCCCTTTTCATGTCCTCATAGGTCTTGTTTATTTTATTGGCCTTTTCTAGAAAATTCTTGAAAAACCTTATAAGTGTGCTTTTGAACTCTATATCTAGTCGCTTTTTGTCCTCCATTTCTTTCGTTTGTGATCTGTTTCCTTGTTTCGCTGCTTCCCTGGTTGGTAGGGTGGCTAAGGTGTCCTATATGGTTCTGTGGGTCAGTCTCCCAGTTACCTGAGGTGGACACTCTTGGTGCCCCATTTTGTGGAATGTGTGTACAGCCTTATTGTAGTTGAGTCTTGATTGTTGTTGGTATCACTGGGAGGAACTGACCTCCAGGCCAATTGGCTGTGAGGATCAGCTGTGTCTATGCCAGGAGACAGTCTTATTCAACTAGACTTGGAAAATTTCAAAAGCCTCTGTGCTCATCTTGGATGGGGTGGAGTTTCAGGGTGGAGCCTACAGCCTTGGCTCCAGTCAACAGTCTGTTCTCTGCACGCAATGTGTGCACCTCTGGGATTTCCTTTTGCCGCTCCCCTGAGTTTCCGCCTTATAGCGCAGACTCCCTCTGTAAGAGCCTGGGTCCCTAGGGTCTCGCTCAGAACTGGGGTTCAGCGCTATTGGAAGTGGGGTTCAGCACAGTCCGGAGTTTTTATCTCCTTCCTGCTAGGGAACGCCAGCCAGGCACTCAGCTGCCCCTCCTCTCTGGCCCCTTCCTCTCCCCACGTACACACCATGTCTCCATACCTTAGGCTTTTACAGCTCCTCTGATTTTCCTTCTGGTTTTCTCTTTCCTTCTAGTTTTAGAATTTCCAGTCAGTTAACTTTCCTGTAGTTCTGGATAATGTTCTTTTGTATTTTAGTTGTATTTTTTTGAAATTGTTGTGTGAGGCTGCAGTTAGGCGTTTACCTATGTCGCCATCTTGGTTTCTCTCTAGCTTTATTATTCTTGTTTGCAAAATATAAAATTAGCATTAATCAGTCCCAAATCCAAATTTTGAACTATAATAATCAAATTGGTCCAACATGGGTCAGATCCCCTTCCTTGTTATAATTAACTATAGTCAGGGGGCTACTAGGGCCCAGGGGAGGATGAATGCTAAAGATACCTACCACTGGGCTGGTGGTTCTCACCAGCTACATAGACTGATAATTCTAAGTAATCCAGTTCTTAGAAAATGTGCTGCTTTGGGGTAATTGTTTTAATGTTGCTAACTTGCAGAGCAACTCACTTCTGTGAGTAGGAGTGTGGTGTCTCTTTGTGGACATAAATAGCTATTATTCATGGTGTTGGTAAATCATAAGTTCTAGAAAACAAAATATTTAGAGGCAGATCTTAGACTGGGATAATCATGGCACATAATTTTGTGTCTCTGGGTCACTTGCAAGCTGGATTGGAATTCTTAAGCATAGAAGTGCTTAGAGAATTTTCAATGGAAGAGATGAGATGGGCCCTACTACCTTGAAACTGGAAAGACACTAGATAAGGAGGCACCCTACAAAGCATGTTGAAATCACTGTATCTGTGGTATCTCAGAAAAACTATGTAAACTTGCAATTATAAGTTATCCTCTATTTCTTTTCTCTTTTTTTTGTGCAGTTTTATAACTTTATTCAACAATCAGCAGTTAGTTCTCATACACATTATCTGTGAATTTTTGAAAATGGGGCAAGCATATAGGATCAACTTACAGAGCTTGTTTGGTGAATCTTCATCCTCATTACATTTTCTGGACAACCACACCCCACATGGTATGGGTCATTCCTTATTCCTTTGGCCCAGACAGATTTGTTGAGCCTGGTGTCAATGAACACGTTTGGAATTCCCATCTCCTTCTTGGAAAATATCCTGATTTCTTTGAGCATCTGAGGGACATGCTTCTTGAAACCCAATCCAAGGATGTGCTTGTGAATGTTAGTGGTGTATTCTTTGGTCACTACCTTGTTGATGGCAGAACAGCCCTTATTCTCACCTTTTTTGTAGGAGCCATTCTGCCAAGCCCAGGTTGGAAAGGTTAGCCTCTGTTTCCTAAAATATTGCTGCGAAGTCAAGAAGGATCTGTTGCATATCAGGAATGTGGTAACAAAAAGTAAGGTTTAGCATGCCCCCCTTTCTCTCTTACCAACATCCTATTTGAAGTAACAAAGATCTGGAGCCAAGAGAAGAGGGGAGAGGAATCTGTGGAACTTGAGTAAGGGCTTTGGAGCAAAAGAACTTTAGCAGACCTCTCTTTTGAACAAAGGTGATATAGGACCTTGAGGGAATTTCAAGAGGGTAAAAAGGGAGATATTTTGGGAGTATTAAGTCCTTGCAATCCAGTAAACTGAGGGTATGAAATGATTAGAATATAGGAATTAAAGTAGACGTGACTTCATTTTGTAATCACTGGCTGACAAGGCCTATATATATATCTGATAAATTTGAAAGAGAAAAAAAATAGAAACAAACCCCAACAATGGTTTATCATTAAACAAAGTACAACATACTATTTTGTAGCCATTAAAAATTATATTAACAATGTGATATGGGAAAATTGTTACCATATAATCTCAAGGGGAAAATTACATGATGTTGAGTATTATATCTACTATGTATAGAAGACAGAAAAATACTAGAAAGAAATAAAACAAAATACAGTGGTCGTTGCCTCTGGGTCATGGGATTGTGGCTCATTTTCTTCCTCTTTTTTATAGTATTTCCAATCCCTATTTTAGAATTAGAATTGGGAACAAGAAAAATATTTTAATTTGTTTGTGATGTTAAAGTCATACTTCTTTAAAAAAAATCTTTATAAATTTATTTCAGAGAGGAAGGAAAAGAGAAACATCAATGATGAGAGAAAATCATTGAATGGCTGCCTCCTGCACACACCATACTGGGGATTGAGCCCGAAACCGGGGCATGTGCTCTTAGCTGGAATCAAACCTGGGACCCTTCAGTCCGAAGGCTGACACTCTATCTACTGAGCCAAACTGGCTAGGGCAAGTCATACTTCTTATTAGATAGTTTACATCTAGGTTAATGTGTTAATATTCTCAGAACTATTTGTATATTATTTTTAGTTTTGCAATGAAGGCTTTTCTTTCATAGTAAAAACATTCTAAATATAGTATCAATGAAGAGCTGAGCAAGAAGATCTTTATTAATTCTCTGGATGCCACATAGCAAGCTTATTTTCATTTCCTTAGTCCTCACTTCCTTCTTAAAGACTCTTATCTGGTTTTCTTGAGAGATATTTCCCACTGAGAAGGAACCTCTCAGTAACCAAGTAACCAAGCCTTTACTTTCTACTTCTCATTGGCAGATTACCTCCAATATTCCAAGGCCTTCTTCCTAATCTCTGTCCTCACCATACTCATTGGTGTTGGCTTGATCTTAAGTTCTTGCCTCCCTAGAAGAGGAAGCATGACCACCAACTTGGATCTGAAGGTATCCATGCTCAGCTTCATCTCAGGTACAACCATAGACTGGCAGGATGATGCCAGGGTAAAATTGTCAAGGGAACAAAATTTCTCTATGGGGTTTTCATCTTCTTTTTCTTGTCCCTTTTCTCTTTTTCAATATTACATCAAGTTACCAGCTACTTGCCTGTCTTATTATATAAAGCACATTTCCAGTGAAATGCCAGGAGAGAAGTAGAAGCCCTTTTTTCTCTCCCACCTGGTCAATCCCCAAATTTTGATCCTGCCATACAAATGGCATCTGGAAGCAGAAGAAGAGTTGGGGGTGGTAGTCAAGGCAGACTGAAGACACTGATGGGTTTTGACATCTTTTCTTCTGATCCTAGCCATCTGCTTGCTCTTCTGCCTCATCCTATTTCTGGCACAGGTTCACTGGCACACCAGGGATGCCATGGAGTCAAACCTCCTGTGGACCTATTATCTTAATTGGTGGAGTGACTTCTTATATATGTTTGCTGGTGAGTCAGTCCCCTGCCTTATCCCCAGAAGGATGGAAGGGGAATATGCTTCTTGAAAGAGATGTGGAATCTAGGAAAAATAAAAGCACTGACTATTCCTATTTAGAGCAGTATGGTATGAAATTAAAAATTTAGAATTAGTAATCTGTCCTACCACTAAATGAGCGTAGACAGGTTGAGTGACTTTCTATAACCACACAGAAAGCAGTTGAACTATGATTTGATTCCAGGAGGTTCAAGCTTTGTCCTAACCATGTGAAAATACTATAATGGAATGAGAACACAGGACTGTAAAGTAATTCTGCTGAGGGAAAGGAGGTTTGGTTTCACTGAAAAGAGGTCCTTTGAACTAAGGATTTATAGGATGAGTATGAATTTTATAAGTCAAAAGACCATGTGTCTATTGTAACTCATCTCAAATTCTTCTCTTCCCACAGGGATCATCTCCTTCCTCAACTACATAACATTCAGATCTCCTCCCCTTGATCAAAATGTCACTGTGATTCCCACAGAGAGGTCAAGGCTGGGGATTGGTCCAGTGACTACAGTATCGCCTGCCAAAGAAGAAGAGTCAAGGTCTGAGACGGAATCTCCAAGTGATGAAGAGGAAAATCTATCAAATTCAGAACTACCAAATGCAGAACTATCAAATGCAGAAATGTGATGGTGATAGGAAAACTCAATTACTGCTTGTCTTAAAAATAGGGGAGAAATTACTAAGTTGGAAATGATTGTGTAGACTCTTAAAAAAATCTCTCTTAATATCATGTCCATATTACTGAAGGAGACAGCATTAAAGCTGATGAAGTGTCCTTTGTATGCATTAGACCCAAAATATGTATGCTAATCAAAAGAAAGTAATGAGCCAAGACCGGTTTGGCTCATTGGATAGAGTGTTGGCTTGGGGACTGAAGGGTCCCAGGTTCGATTCCGGTCAAGGGCATGTACCTTGGTTGCGGGCATATCCCCAGTAGGGGGTGTGCAAGAGGCAGCTGATCGATGACTCTCTCTCATCGATGTTTCTAACTTTCTATCTCCTTCCCTTCCTCTCTGTACAAAATCAATAAAAATATATTAAAAAAAAGAAAGTAATGAAATCTCATTAAGAAAAAATATATATAAGAAAACATCAGTGTTTAGGGTCATGAATGAAAGAAACTAGCAATAGATGCAGTGTGTGGATCAGAGATATCTTTGGGCATCAGTGGTATCATGGACCAAAGTGGGCAATGGAGTAAAATGTCATCTAATTCTGTTTGAAAATCTCATTATTTGTGGCTGTGAGCATGGATGGAGGTACTTAGACAATATTGTTCAGTTTGAACTGGAGATAGCTACAAGAAATGGAATGAAGACCAATGGAAATAATACCTATCACCCAAAGGTGTTGGGAGGTGCTGGGGGGTGGGGATTCTGGGTGAATCCATGAGGTCCCATTTCCTATAAGAATTGGACATTTTAAACCCTTACAGAATACTATATGAGCCCATTGCTTCTCCCTAAGCTGGAAGATACCTTAATCAGACATATACAAACTCTCTGAAATTCTATACAAAACTTGTGTTTGCACTTTTCTGTGAAAAGAGTCATAGCCTCTGTTAGATCCTTTACAACCCTGTGACTCTTTTGATTCCTTAATCATCAAATATGTTTCACTGAGCCAAATGACGCTAAAGGTCTTAAGATCTTTCTTTAGCCTGATCATATGTGGACCAAGTTGAAAGACTTTATCTTGTTTTATATATCCTGTAAGATTAAGGAAATGGTGGCAGAGGGATTCCAGAAATCACATAGGTTTTTTTCTAATCCTCACTGGAGAATATGCTTTTTATTGATTTCAGAGAGATGAAGGAGAGAGAGAGAGAGAGAGAGAGAGAGAGAGAGATGTGAGAAACATCAATTAGTTACCTCCCATATTTGCCCCGACCAGGGATTAAACCTGCAATCTAGGTATGTGCCTGATTGAGCCACCCGGCCAGGGAAATCACATAGTTTTTAAATATATAGTTTTATTGATTTTAGAGAGGAAGGAAGAGGGAGAGAGAGATAGAAATATCAATGATGACAAAAATCATTGATGGGGTCCTTCACGCCTCACACTGGGGATCAAGCTCGCAACCCAGGCATGTGCCCTGACTGGGAATTGAACCTTGATCTCCTTGTTCATAGGTGGACACTCAGCCATGAGCCATGCCAGCTGGGCCACATAGATCTCATTTTCTTTTCTTTTCTTTTCTTTTCTTTTCTTTTCTTTTCTTTTCTTTTCTTTTCTTTCCTTTTATTTTTAAATTGATATTTTACAGAGACGGATAGAGAGTTAGAAACATCAATGAAAGAGAATCATCGATCAGCTGCCTCCTGCACACCCCCCACTGGGGATGTGCCCACAACTAAAGTACATGCCCTTGACCGGAATCGAACCTGGGACCTTTCAGTCTGCAGGCCGACATTCTATCCACTGAGCCAAATCAGTTTCAGCTTTTATTGGCATTTTTAATTTAGGTTTGTTTTATTTAAGTTTAATGTTAATTCCATGCTATGTTTCAGTAAGAACAATACAGATTCTATATCTGTGGCTCCAGTCAGATATCCAGTAGTACAAATTAGCTTCAAGTTACACACACTGAACAAAAGAGGTTGAGCGAGTGAAGGAGGGGGAGGCCAGGGAGAGGGAAGGAGAAGAAACAAAGAATTAAACACGCAAACAGACTTTTCCATACCATCTTCAATGCTAACCTACTTCAGAGGGAGAGTAAAAGTAGGCAAGAATGAGCAGCCACGGATTGTTGAACTGTTACCAGCACCATGCTTTTCAGCAGAGTTTGAATACTTTTTACAGCAAAACCATTACAACAAATTCCCCAAACAACCTTTAACCACCTCAAGCTAACACCCAATTAATCTTAAACATTGGTATAAAATTCAATTTAAACAATTAGAAAAAGGAAAAAATGATACCACATATGCCACTATAGTGTGATTAACCTCTCTCTTAGATGCTTGCTTCACTTAGAAGTCTAATGGCTTTCAAATGTAATTTCCATCTCTAATGGTGACCTTGCCACATCCAGCAGGAGACAATACAGTAATGCAAAAAAAGCCTCTATACAGTCCTGTTAGTGTCTTAAAGAACCTAAAAGCTGGGACCAGTAAAACGCACAGAAATTCACTCTTGCCTTTAAGAACTTTTGAAAACTGTATTTAAAAACAAACAAACAACAACAACAACAACAAACCAACAACAAAAACCAACAGGGCAGGAACCTAAATTCTGAGACCAAATGTAAAAGTCAGATTTGGTGGTTCTCAGTGACAATGGGGGAATTTCCAAGAGGGGGTAGAATGGGAAGGAGTGGGGTGGTCAGAGATGATTTCTCTTGTTGGCTTTTACGTCTCACTGACTTTCATCTTCCACATCCTGCAGTGCTTTTTTATTCTGCTCTTCACCATCACCCTGCATGTCTGAAGACCATAGTGACAGATTATCACGTAACAACTGCATGATAAGTATAGAGTCCTTATAGCTTTCTTCACTCAGTTTATCCAGTCCTGCAATTGCATCATCAAAAGCTGCTTTTGCCAACCTTCAGGCACTGTCAGGGGAATTAAGAATTTCATAGTAGAATACGAAGAAATTGAGAGCAAGACCTAAGTGAATAGGATGTGTTGGTGGAAGTTCTGTCACTGCAATATCACTAGCAGCTTTGTAAGCCTCTTCTAGGCTGTTCTCTGCAGCCTCCTTCCTGTCATTTCCTGTGCCAAATTCGGCCAGATACCTTTGGTAGTCCCTTTTCATTTTATAATAGAAAATCTTGGACTCACCAGTGTTAGCTGCTGGAATAAGGTGTTTGTCTAGTACATCCAGAATGTCACAACAGATTAACTTTAGTTCAGTCTCAACCATTTGCCGATACTCCCGAATCATGTTTAGTTTGTCTTCTCCTCCCTTGTTTTCTTCTTTCTGTTCAATGCTGCTGATTATTCTCCAGGAAGCTCTTCTAGCTCCAATCACATTTTTATATACAACAGATCTGAGGTTTTTTTTTCCTAAACTGTCAACTCCACATCCATCCCTGCTACTTTCTTCATTGATTCCACCATTTCGTCCTATTGCTCAGCCTGCTTGGCCAGCTTCGCCTGGTACACCAGATCCTCCAAATCATTCATAGCGGTATCAGCTCCGGCAGGGTCTGTGCGATGGATGGAAGCGGATAGCATCTCCAACTCTCTCCCACATAATCTTTTGATGGCTACAAATTTCTGTCATAACCAGACCAAATTCCAGGCAGAAGACTCCTTTATTTTTTTAGTAGCTACCACTACTACTATATTGATTGACGTCCATTCTTCTCTTCCCCAAGCCTGGCAATGGAATTAACTACAGTGCCCAGCCCCTTGCTGTTCTTAAAGATAAACCCTTGGGGGTTTTTTGGGGGGTTTAAATAAAGATTCACCAGTAACCTTTGTAGAAAACAAACAAAACAAAAATGGAATAATTACATTGTTCTTATAATCTCAGTTCTTATAATCTGATCAATAATTCTTAAACATTTCCAGATAGTAACTGGAAGCTCAATATATTAATACCATAGGCTTTTATTTTTAAGGGTAAGAGTTTAGCAGCACATGCATGTGTGCACCCACTCACAGAGACACACATACAAACATATATATGCACACACCTCATTTTGACTCTGCTTTATAAAACCCTTCTCCCCATGTTGGCTCCTCCTCATAGCAGGGGATCTTAGTCAGGGCAGAATAGCTGGTGCCTCCTTATTCCAAGTGGCCTCATTTCAGAGTCTCTTCATTCTGTTCCTGGACCTTTGCCTGGTTGTAAGAATAAACATTAGTCAAGTCTAGCTCCCCTTTCTCCCATCACCACTCACACATGAAGTATACTTCACATATTGACTAATTAAGGAGTCATTGGGTTCACAAACTTGCTTTATAGTTCAAATTGCTTGGATACTTTAATTATATGAATAAATTGACAAGAAGCTGAGTACTGATTACTCTTCAGGAAAGGGAAGTTTTAAGTGGTGTGAGGAGAAGGAAGCAGGTCTAAGAGCGGAAGATGCTGCATAATAAAAAAGTAATGATAAAGATTCTGGCTATTAGGGGAGAATAGGCAGTGATTATAACTAAGGTTCAACTTTGCTAACAGAGAATGGCCATATAAGCAGAGACAACCTTTCATTGCTCCTTTAAAAACTGAATGCTCTTTATTTTCTTCATTCTCTCTTTCTTTGCTTGTAGAGAATGCCTTTAAAAGCCTAAGTGGATTTTCAATAAGATAGCTCAGTAAATGACCCTTTGATACATCCCTTTTGCTCCAAACATATTGCATGATAGATGAAGGGGTAGGAAGAGAGATTATATTAACTCAAGTCAAAACAAGACAAGCAGTTTCACTGTCTAGAAAAATAACAAAAACTCAAGGCTTTGATTTGAGTTAAGCCATAGATTTAAAGGGCTATAAGTCGAAAAGTAAGCAGAAATGAATAGGAAGACAACTCTTGTGGAGTGAAAAGGACTATCAGTGCTTCTCAAGACATGGACTAAGAGCCAGATTCACAGCTGTAGCTCAAGCTAAGGACTTATGAAAAGAAATAAACAAAAACTACTGCCAAGGACCGACTGGGGTTATTTGGAACCACAGACCCAAAGCAGTAAACGGAGACAAGCAACCAATTTATTCACTAGCTGGATCAATGGCCTTCCCTGATAGCATAACAACAGGAAATATGAAATACCATATTAAGAGATCTGACCCTGGGGCCTTTGGCCAAAGTAAGAAAACTCCAAAGTACTGATGGAATGAGAA